TATTTTAAATATCTATCGATTTACCATTTTACCCATCGGCTCTGGATTTGTAATAGTCGTACTGAAAAATCCCTTCCATTCAATTCTCCCGTACAGACCCTTCCAATTGTTGTGTCGGCTCGAGGTATGTGGCAAACACCATGGAATCAAAGTATTAAATTGCTTATCAGTAGGATCACATGGTTGTGATTTGCCGGTACTGCAACTGCATACTCCGCGAAATGCATTTGTTGAGCTTCTCCCAGCTTTCTCGTCATCGTGCGTATATTCTCTGAAAAAGAAAAAGAACGACAAAATTCAAATTTGATCAATTAATCATTGTAATCAAAGAATTTACAAAAACTTAAGGGACTCCACACGACTAAAAAAAACAGTGATCTTTAAAAACTTTTTTTGACTAAAGTAAAATTGAATAATTTCAAAAGTTTAACAATGTTTTACTGTATATTTGAGCAGTGGAACAAATTTTGTTATTAATGTTTTTTTAATAAACAATAGAATGTCTTCATAACGTCGCGTCGCTGGAGTTGTATACAATACATATAAGAGACGTAATTTTCGTTTAAAATGAAAAAACCAAATTTTTTTCTTAATTTTTATAAAATTATCCTCCTATATGAACTAATAATATTACAACAAAAATTAAATTAATTTTTTGCAAAAAAAAGTTCAAATTTTTTCATAAAAATTTTAACTGTTTTTAAATTGTCATAACTTACCCAATTATTGAAATTTTTAATGTTTTGTTAGGTCATATAGAAGATAATTTTATAAAAATTTAAAAAAAATTTGGTTTTTTATTTTAGACAAAAATTACGCCTTTTAGATTGTACACAATCAAACAACTCCAACGGCGCGTTATCAAAACATTCTATTATTTATTAAAAAAACATTAATTTATTAATAAAAAAATTTTTTTCATTGCTCAAATATACAGTAAATACTGTTAAATTTTTGAAATTGTATCCTTTCATTTTACAGTTAATTAAAAAAAATTCTTAAAAATCACTGTTTTGTTAGTCTTGTAGAGTTTCCCTTTAATGTAGAATAATAAATTTGTAGAATAATAAAGGAAAGGACAGAATATTAGGTGCCTCAATGCCAAAGTACACAATTGCTTGTCATGTAAAAAATTCGACTAATTGCATGACACTAGGAATTTTGGAAAATATCCTCACTCTGTGATAGAAAAAAAACTTTAAACAAAATTAACTTAATCCCAATAGATTTTATACGTACAATTTCTTGGAAAAGGTACCGTCACTCAATCGCACCACAATGTTCGGCAGATCACGCCAATCAGAACCGCTTGTAGTTGGAATAAGGCTCATTCGCGCTTCTACAAGCGGCGACATTTCTTTGCATATGTGATCTGTCAATATCGACTGATATGGTTTACCTCTCATCTGAAGTAAATCAAGTGAGAATTTTAATATTTGTTTTCAAATATAAGTAAGATTATGTTAGTTCCTGTGACAATTACCTTCCTCTGAAAATATGTTATTGGTTCACCAACATAAGACATTTCTTCTATATTCGAACCACATTTAATTTCTGGTAAATCATATAAGGCATCTTTTACAGTGATTGTTCTGTATGGAGCAGACTCCTTCCAAGCATAGTTGATATTATACTAAAATGTACATACATTATTAGGACAAAAAAAGAATTTCATAATAGAACAGCATCAATAAATTATATATTTTTCACTATATCGACTTGATCTTAATAATTTCTAGTTTATTGTATTATTTATATAATAAAAATGACAAATATTTAAATAAAATATAGTTTGCAATACGGATTCCGTAATCAGCTAACATATTACATGTAAGTATACAGGGTGTCCTGAAATTCGCGAATCAAAATATTACAGTAAGTTTTCAAAAAATTACGTAAAAAAGTTATTTGTAAATTTTTAATTTAAGCAGTAGTTTTTGATATATAAAAGTTTAAATATAGTCAATTATAGATTACGATTAAACGGAAACATGTCCGTGAGCATGTCAATAGTGTTAGTGGTCGCGCACTTCACGCGATTACTAATCTATAATTGACTAAATTTAAACCCTTACATCTCAAAAACTATTGCTTAAAACAAAAATTTACAAATAACTTTTTTACTTAATTTTTCGAAGACTTTCTTGCTATGATATTTTGATTCGCGAATTTCAAGTCACCCTGTATATACATATCATAAGTATATATTAATATAAAATGTAAGAACATACCTTTTTATTATCTATCATTATAGTCAACGAGCAACAGCGTTTACTGAACACATGCGTTGGTTCTGGAAACTTTGGAAGTATCTCTCCAGGTGCAGCGGCTATGAGAATCATTCTAAATTATTAAGAAAATTAAATGAGATATATTATTGAGAAATTTAGGTATATTATTTTGATTGAATAAAAGAAAATGAAATAAATAAATACCTTCTTCTCGTTTGCGGCACTCCATAACTTCCAGCTTGGACAATACCAAAGGAACACTGATAACCCATACGAATAAGGCATCTTATGGTTAATTTTAGCACCATATTCTTTTTACAGAATACAAAATTTCGCACGTTTTCCATCACAAAGTATTTCGGTCTATAGTAATCGCAGTAAGATAAAGTCGTAACGATAAGAGAATTTTTAAATAGTGAGTATTGTCGTGAATTAAAACGATTCATGCCACTGAACCCCTGACATGGTGGTCCACCACACAAGAGTTCAACGTCTCCTTTTTGGGGAAGTTTCTGGCCATTATCATCTACATTTTCGCCCTAAAAAAAAACAAAATTTTATTATTAAAAAAATAAATATAAAATAAATTATGTAAAAAAATAAATTTTATTAAATTATATTTAAAAAATTATCAGAAAATAACGTTGTTCTTCCATATTCTTACTATTTAAGAGGATCCTAAAGTCGTCTGATTTTACCAATTAAACGCAATAATTTTTGTACCAAGTTTTCGTACGTATTACATTTACAGATTTTGGAAATCCTTCTCCAGAATTAAAATATAAGCAATAACAAAGAGCGGATGGATAGAATGTATAGGGTGGATTTCGTATGAAAAACGAAAATTATGAAAAATTACAGTTTAGTTATTGATTTTTCGCGTCGACTCATAATATTTGCTTTATATAAGTTTTATACCCTGTATATATTTTAAATAAATTTGATCCGCTCTCGAGATTCCATGAAAGAATATTATGCTTTTATAAATAAGCCTAGGAGTTTTAAGAGAAAAGTGTATAAAAATACGTGTGTATGTATATGTAACATTAATGTAGCAATAAATATCAATACATTACTACACATTGCTACATCAATATCGCACGCATACATAAGCACAAATCATCGAAAAAACGGCTGCATTCAACAGAAAAATTTGATCAATGAGTGCTTAGTGATTCTTTATTATGATTGATTTCTG